TGTTGTCCCAGTCAACTCCTTGCAATGGAATAAAACTAGTACGAACACATAAATAATGTGCACAAGGAAACTGTGCCACATCGTTTGCCATGATGACTTCTTTGAAGTTAACCAAAAATTATTCCAATCTGTACATCATCATATCAATTGGCGTTCAACATTTTGTGGTTCACTTGATATCCGCCGCAATACATGAGACAATGAAATTTTTCCTCTATTTTCCTGAATTATCATTATAACAAGAAATAATAAATAAACAAAGAAAAGCCATTACTATACATCCTATAATAATTTCCTTTTAACTTTTTATACTGTTTAATTTTGTTGATCTCAAGTAATCAATAATAGCTCTTTTAAATATTGGCCAAGTTAATCGGGTGAGAGAAAAGCTGTCTCCTTTAAACTACAAGGCAGATTCCGACAGTCAAGTGTGAAAACAAAATGTAGTGGACATGCCTCAACATTATTATTTAATTGCCTCTATACCAAACAAAATAAATTAGTATAGGAAGCGTAATACATGTATTACGCATTTATAGAATTTCCTTAGAGGAAAGGCATGAATCATATGAAACATTTATAATGAAAGTAGTCGCGACTTCGTGTGCACAGCCACAAATTCCCATATATACATTAATAAGAAAAAGTAAAGACATTATTCAAGAGGAGGTTTTGTTTGTCAAAATTAAACCTCCTTTTCAGCTCAATGCAGATCATGTACATTCCAAAATATTTAATTTTTTTAATTTTCTTAATTCCGATCTACTTTCTCCAAAATTAGCTTTCTAAAACAGAAAAAAAAAAAAAAAAATCAAATCTTGCAAGCATTTTTTCGGAACCCTATATATACTTGCACAAGCCCTATTAAAGTTAAAGATTCTCTTCTTTATTTGTTAGATCAACAATAGTCCACACTCCACATTATCAACTTAATAATGTATATATATATATGCATGTGATTTGAAATAACTTAAGATTAGTAAAAAAAAAAAAAAGAAAACCATACTTGCAACTTTATTTTGCCGCAGTTTCCTTATCAGACCAGACACATACTAATGGGCAACAAAATTCCAGCATTAATACAAGTTATCTGATCACTCTTTTGCTTTATTTTGTTATCAATTATTTTAAACTTAAAATAACTCCTCCGCATTTTAGGTTCAACTTTATACACGTAACAATCACTATCTTCTCACGAATATTGGCTTCAGATAACAAATTTTGCTTGACCGTAAAAAATTTAAAACATATTCCAAAAAAAAAAAAGTTGAATATTGTAATTTTAAAGTTAGCTGAGGTTGGGGGGGTATATATATATATATATGTGTGTGTGTGTGTGTGTGTGTGTGTGTGTGTGAACGTGTGTTTATTAGGATTTAAATTTTGATGATTTCAGTTTTTGTTAGTAAAGTGAGAGTTATAAAACTCTATACCGTTAAAAAAAAAAAAAAAAAAAAAAAAAAAAAAACCTATCAGTGTCTAGGGACATATTAAATAAATAGACCTGGTTTTCTAGTTTCATTAGCGATACACATATATATGTGTATGCATATATATTTATGTATGTGCACATGTATTTTTATGCATGTACTTAGTAAGGCCCTTCTCAAAAGGTATAAATGGTGCGTTTGTAGTGCTTCTTAGAGTCCAAAAGAACTTTTCTAGTCATTAAGGTGTTTGGTAAAAACTACAAAAAGTAATTTTTAAAGAATTTTTAAAGAATCTACAGTTAAAATCAGAAGCAACCCAAAAGGTAATTTTGACTTTTAGATTATGCGGAAATCAACATAGTACAATTAATGATTATCAACAAAGTTATATTAAATAATTAATTATTAATTAATATATAATATAATTAGTAATTAATAATTAATAATTAATAATTAATAATTAATAATTAATATTAAATTATAATTATCAATATGTAATATACTAATCAATAATAATTAATAATTAATATTAAATTATAATTATCAATATGTAATATACTAATCAATAATAATTAATAATTAGTAATTGATTATGAATAATTACTATGTTAATAATGTACTCATATTTATTAGATTATAAATAATTAATTAGTGTATTAAGAAAAATAATTAGTATATACATAATTTATTAATATTCCTTTTACTACTTAAATTATTAACTTTTAGTTACATAATTAATTAATTAATTATGTAACTAAAAGTTAATAATTTAAGTAGTAAAAGGAATATTAATAAATTATGTATATACTAATTATTTTTCTTAATACACTAATTAATTATTTATAATCTAATAAATATGAGTACATTATTAACATAGTAATTATTCATAATCAATTACTAATTATTATTTTTAATTATTTAGCATATTATTTATTATATATATAGTTTAATTACTAATGTACTCATTAATGATAATTTATCTATTATTATTATATTATTAATATATTAATTTTTATTTGCTAAATAATTATCAATTATTAATTACTTTATATATTGATTTAAGATTATTAATTATGGTTATTTTAACTAGCCACGGCAATTCAACCTCACAATTTATCAAACGCTATTACACTGTTTTTGGAATCAACAACACTTGTATAATTATAATTTACTAAATACTTAGCTGCTTTTTGTAACAGTTATTTTTTTCTTCAGCACAATTAAAAGTAATTTTTTTAAAATCTACAGCATTACCAAACTGGCTCAAAGAGGTAGAGATGGAGGATAGCTTTCGTGTTGGACTTAATTGATCCTTGGAGAGGGGTCCCGAAGGGTGGTGGGGAAGAGGGAATGGGAGAGTGATGGTTTAATAGTTGGGAAATTAGGAAAGAGAAGATTAATTAATTCCAATGAGAAAATTGGACCATACATGTATATATGAATAAATTGGATGTGATGCGCGCGCGGTATATGTAAATCAAGATTTTGCCATTATTTAAGCTGGTTTGATATTCAGAATTGTCACATCAATTTAATCTAAGGTTTTGGAAAAAGACCATACTGAGGATTTTCAATCACCAATATATATGCTCTTAATTGAGAATTTAAATCTTCCATGATTAAAGGAAGCTGGCATATCCTTTAGCGCTCTGTTTGGCTTCTTAGAAACCACCAACATGCACTTGCTTTTGTTTGTAGCTAACACCAAATAAATAAATAAGATAAGATAAATGCTAGTTAAATTACTAAATTGTACAAAACTGAGATATACATACATGTGTAAATATATATTATTAACTTTAAAAATTTAGATTTTAGTGATGAACATTAAACACATGTTCATATATATCATGACATGAATTATGCATACACAAGACAAAAAAGTAATTGATTAGATCCTGCTACACATAACATCCATGAAATCAACATATATGATATTAAAGTTCCAACTTGTTATTCTCAAAAGAAAAAAAAAAAAAAAAATTCGTCCCATCTTGTTGATTGGGAGTTTCATAAAAGAGACCCACAAGTTGTTTATCTGCTCCTAATAATAATTCTGTGTTCTACTTGTAACTTATTATTACACGTAAAACAATAGAGACAACAAAAGTAAAAATAAATTAATAATCACGCTCACCACTCACCTCCACAAATCACGAAATCATTAAAGTAATAATAAACTCGTTTAGTACTTCCCTAACAAAACATGAAAGAAGTAGAGAAAACAAAAAAAAAAAGGCGAAGAAGACAAGCAAAAAAGTAGGCTTAAAAGAAGCTGTTATGTCCTCTTGAGCCCTTTTTTTTTTTTTTTTTTTTTTGTGGTTTGTTTTTTGTTTTGAGTTTTTATGCCGTAAATCTCAAAACAACCCAAAATACAAAAATAATATTAAAAGAGCCCCTAAAATTGAGGGACATGGTAACGGAGATGACGTTGAATCCGAATCAGCAAGACATAGGCGTAATTGGGGAATTAGGGGGGCTGAAAACGGAAGAAGGTTGCTCCCACGTGCCGGTTACGGTCAAATGACGGTGCCGAATCCCTGACACGTGTAAGCCGTTCATGAGAACCGTAAACTTGGACAAACCTCTTTATATAGCTTGACTACTTTGTAACAAAATAAATATATTAATAAAATAAAATAAAGAAAGAAAAACGCTTTTAGTTTTAGCTTGACCGCTAATTCATAGCCTGAATACTGTACAAAATATATCATGCTACATTATTGCATCCATCTGAGCCGTCGCTTTGCTGTGATTTTTATGGTCAAACTAAATCAGTCTTAGATCAGTAGATTAACGATCAAGATCATTTTAGTTGCTGCTTTCTCTACTAGTTTTCTTACGTGCCTTGAAGGCCTAAACCACTGCTTTAATTAGAGTTTTAATACGATAACACTAAATTTTCTGCTTCTTGGAAACTAACCTAATAAATTAATCATATTGGTTAATACTAAGAGTTTTTACAAATTAAGAACATTGTTCAAAGAGATATTGAGTTTTTTTTCTTTTTTTTTTTCTTTACTTTCTATTTCGTCAAAGAAAGGTATTACATAAAAAAATAGCTAAAAATAGACTGGAAATATTGTTTAATTTCTGTCGCTTGGAATATGGTTTGACGCTAATTAATTTGTTTAATATGGTCCTGAAGATAAAAAATGATGCAAACCATTGAAGAGCATGCGTACGTCCCGAATATGTATAACATCTTGCATTTACCATCGTGTTAGTTGGTGGAAAACTCTTATCCCCCAGTCATTTCGTAGTTATGAGTTTAAGAAATATATATCAAAATATTATTAAAAAAAAATATAAAACATAACATTATGTGTAAGAGGAAAAATAATTAATGCTTAGGAATTAGATTGGGTTGGGGACCGCCAATTGTGTATTATGTTAACCCAAGGCCAAGTATGAGTAATTGTGGATAGGACACAGGTAGGAATAAGGCAAAAAGCAGTGTAAAGTGGCCAAAACCAAAAGGCTATCCTCCAAAAAAAAAAAAAAAACACCTTCTCTCTCCTTCTCTCTCCTTCTCTCTCTCTCTCTCCTCTCTCTCTCTCTCTCTCTCTCTCTCTCTCTCTCTCTCTCTCTCTCTCTCTCTCTCTCTCTCTCTATTCTAGAAAAGAAAACCTGTAGAAATAGTAGAAATCTAACCTAAAGCTCACACTTTCTCAAAAGAACAAAGCAGAAACGATCTAAAACCAGACTTTTTATTTCTCTACTAAGTTTAGCTATAGCATATATAGTTCTTGATCAGTGGTTTTTTTTCCCTTCTCTCTCTCCCTTGATCTCTCTGATCATCTCTTTCTCCATGTCAAATGATCATCAAGAAAGCACTCATGATCCACACCGGCCGTACAATAATGACCCTTTCACTTACAACACCCACGACTTCATCGACCGTTTCCCATTCCTTAACAACTACATGAACAATTCATCTATATTCTACACCCAATATCCCAACAGTAATAGTAATAATTTGGACCCCAATTCCTACTTGAGCTATGCCGACTGCCTCCATGGCAGCTCCATGGATCACTACAACACCCTATCCCGAGCCTTCGACATGTCGTGCGCCGCCTCGTCGTCGGACGTCGTTTCGGCTGCTCAGATCGACCACCCTCACGACATCGACAGCACTGCTACTACTGCTCCTGCTGCTGCTGCTGCTGCTAATAATAATCTGTTAAAGGTCGCCGCCGGGGTGGGGGATCAGTCGGCGGGTACTAGCGAGAACCCGTCCACGCCGAATTCCTCGATATCTTCCTCCTCGAACGAAGCTGGCGCCGTGGTGGAAGAAGATTCGGGTAAGAGTAAGAAGCTGGAAGAGGATAAGATGCAGCGTAAAGATCAGTCTGATGATCAAGATGGAGATGATGTTGAAGACAAGGGTGCATCAAAGAAAGTGTAGGTTTTCTGCTTCTCATGATGTACTAAAGAATTCTGTTAGTGGTAAATCATTTTAGTATGTTGTTGAAATAATAGAACTTGATTATCTTGTGTTTGGCTTCTTTTGAATCTTGAAGTGACTTTTCTGCATTTTCCCCTTTCGTATTGTTTGTTTTAATTTCCACCTATGAATTGTTATCATAATTTGACTTTTGGACTCATCACTTTCTTTACTCTACCATTTCATTTTTCCACATATGCAATTTCTACTTTCATGGCAAGAGAAAAAGGATAATTATTTATACGCAAAAAGAGCATAGGGCTGTCAGCTGGAACCCTAATTAATTAGATACATACATGATCATCAATATTCATTTTTCTGGAAATATTTCACCAATCAATTAAAGTTTTTTTTTTTCTGAATAATTCCAAGTAAAGCGTTTGTATCAATCTATGCTTATTATCATTATTACTAGATTGGATTGTGAAAATTGGGAAAATGTTAATCATGTGTTGTTTTGTAATTAGGACAAAGACTAAAAAGAAAGAGAAGCGGCAGAGGGAACCACGGTTTGCTTTCTTGACTAAGAGCGAGATCGATCACCTTGAAGATGGATACAGATGGAGAAAATATGGACAAAAGGCTGTTAAAAATAGTCCTTATCCAAGGTTTGCTTATTTCTTCAATTACCCCCACCAATTAGTTTAGTATGAACATGAAAAACACTAACATTGCTAGTAATTTAAGTAGTATTAGTGGATGTAGTAACCTAATCTCAAAATTCTCACAGCAATTGTTGGTTTGATGAAGTGCTACTGATTACATCTGTTAATTGCCAATTACATGTATGTTAGTCATATTGCAAGTACATGAAATTAAAGCTCACGCATGTGCCGCCTATAGCAATTGCATCAACATATCTACTAATCTCATATAAACATAGCTTAATGTTGAGTACATTATACGTTATGGAACTTAATTGACCATAAATTATTGATCCTTTATCACATGTGTCTCTCCCCGCCGATATTTGTCTTTACAAACCCTTAACAATTCTCCCCTTTTACTTTTAGTTTTGATTAGAAAGCGAGTTAAACATACCAAAAGAAATTTTAGAACTTTATGGCTAACTTATAACTAGCTTGTAATGCTTTCATCATTTTTTTTTTTTCTTTTTTTCTGTTTCAGAAGCTATTACAGATGCACTACTCAAAAGTGTACCGTGAAGAAGCGTGTTGAGAGGTCATTCCAAGATCCCTCAATTGTGATCACAACATATGAAGGGCAGCACAACCATCACTGTCCCGCCACACTCCGTGGCAGTGCGGCAGCCATGTTGTCGCCTTCCCTTTTTGCGTCGGCGGCTGCATCCGTGGGGCCAGCCCTGCCAGTACACGACTTCTTCACTCAGTTTCTCCCCATCAATGCCAATAATAATCATCATAATCATAATCATAATCATAATCAAGGTGAGGCCAGTTCTATTTTATACTCAAACCTCTCTCAGCAGTACCGCCAACAGCTTCAAGTTCCTGATTTTGGCTTATTGCAGGATTTAGTTCCTTCATTTAGTCGTCACAAGCAAGATCCATGAAAATCGATCCTCCATGTGTAGGGAGAATATATATACATAATATATATACCTACATATATAGTATATGCATGTTTTGTTTAATAATTATTTACTTTTTTTTTTTTATCAGGCTCTACTTTTTTTGAGTTTATTTTATCTTCTTTCAAATCTATTGCAACTCTTTCCAAATGTGTTTTGTCTGATTATATCTATGAATTCTCGCTCCTCCCTATGTCAAAATTACATGTAATAACTGATTAATTAGAATATTGTATTAATTAATGATCAAGTGGAGAACCATGGTAGCTCAAATTTCATGTTTTCGCTTGATGTATCCTTTTAAACCATGTTAGCTCATGTTATTATTTGCTATAATGGATGTACAATGTCTACAGTATCTAGTAGTGACCATGAAGGGAAAGAGCCACAATTTTCTTATAATACTCAATATCTTGGTCTTGTAATGTTAATTTATATATATAACGTGAAGTTCCTTTCAAAAATAAAATAAAGTAACGTAGACTTAGTAATTAAATTAGCTTATTAATTAAGGTGGGTGATCTATATATGCAAGTAAAATGAAGAATATAATTGTACACAGCTCCATTTTGCATTATTATGAGTTAAAGTAATTAGCTGAGAAGATATCAGTACTCGCCGTGAGTTCAGAGAGTTATATGCAAGTCAAACTTGGGGCCTGGTTATTTATAAATGGTTTTAACAAATATGTGCTAATAATAAGGTGCCGTGTTAGATTCCTGATAAGTGATAATTACACATTGGATATGTTACGTTGAATATAGCCAATGTGACTGTTAAAATGAACTAATCAGCCCAATTCAAAATTTAGCTAACCTGATCTGTATACAACATTTAAACGTGAATTAAAATACCTCATTATAAGTAAATTATATTTCAAGCTAATTATATACAATTGGCACGCTTTGTGCATGCTTGGTATGCATGTCATCAATCTATGCCCTAAAGTCGATTGCTGTATATGAGAGTGAAATATCAGAGAGAAGTGCTACTTATCAGTTAGGTGTTTAGTCAGATTATTAGCTTAGCTAGCATAATAAATTTGAAATAAAGCATTATTTTGGAAGCACCGGTGTACTAATTAATACCTTTCTCAGCGAAATGGAGGAATATATATTAATTAAGCATATACTTAGACTTCAGAGATTAAGCTAGCTCCAGCATTTGATTCGTGAATATTCTTTTATTTAACATGAAAATGGAAATGGAGATGACTACGTGAAATATATTAGTTTACAGAACGGAAAGAAAAATATACGCCACAGCAATTTATGAAAAAGTTACCACAAATCTTATATATAATTGTAGTGATTGGATCTTTTCTTTCTCGTTTATCAATTTCTACAGGTCTAAAACTAGTTGTATTTGTATTGCATACTAAGGATTTAATCTAACAACGGATTACGTACCCCTAAATCTTATATATATTAGGTTTCTGTGTATGTATATCTAGCTCAGTATGGGTGCCTGAATATGTATGTATATATAATTGAACCGTATGTACCAGATGTTCCATAAGAAAGCCATTGGCTCTGGTATAAGAATGTTTTATTGTTTTAAAATTGAACTAGGACATGAGCAATGATTCTGATCGTATCATGCAACACATTTGTGGGCGTCGAATAATGATCAGAATATATTTAAAACGTCAACAAAAAATTTATTGTTATGTCCCACCTGACAAAAAAATAACTTAATTTTAATGGTTAATCAAATTGATTCATCTATTAATTACTTGATAAATTGTGAGTACAATCAGATCATAGCTCAGGCAGAATGTTTTATATATGTATATTTTTTTCCTAAATTATTCCGATTTAATTAATATCAATTAGGGATATGTATAAATCGTCCTAGCGGTCAAATTTCGAATTATGCGCCTTTGAATTCGGCGGCCGAACATTGGCAGCTTTTCTAACATTTTTATCTGACCCTCAGCTGTACTGTCACTCTCTTCCTCTCTTTTTTTTTTTTTTTTTTTAATGAGCAGTATCGATCCACTCCAAAGATCACTTGTCCTCAACCTATTTAGTACAAAACTTGTCGAACAAATATTCTCTATGTGACGTTTATGATCAATTATTTTACTTGTAACCACTAGGCATAACGGATTTGTTTTTTGCCCTTAAATTTCAAAAAAAAAATTAAATTTAAGTTATAATTTTATTTTTTTATTTTTTTATTTTTTTTGTAAAATTTAACTTTTAACTTGAATTTAAGATTAAAATCTGAGTTCAAGTTTTTCCTTCAACTCAAGTTCTTAAACTTAAATTCAAGTTGATGAACAATATTTTTTATATTCTTAAAAACGTCATAACTTTTTCATTTTAATTCTGATTGAGATGATTTTTTTTCTATGCGTTCACAATGAAGAGACGAATAAAATCTCACCCATATACCCTATTAAAATTGTCTATCACCATTGAGTTTTTATTAAAATACTATCCAAATACAAATTCAAGTTTTGATCCACCCAAACACAAACTCAAAAAGATTATCATCTCAAACCATAACTCAAATATACACAACCAAACAAATTCAACTCAAGATTTACACTCAAATCATCATAACGCAAAAATGCAAACGAACAAGCCTAATATCTTTAGTAATATTATTAATCAAGCATCTACATATGTAAAAGGTATACATTTTTGTTATGTTCTAATACAATAAACTATTGGAAGCGTGTCTATACAATTTTGACCTTTTGATGTTCTTAGTATCAAATTATCATAAAGTATTAAGCCACTGGCCCACTTTAGTAGAGTCAACACTCATGATGAACTAATGCAAATCTTTGCATTACAAAGATTTGTATTGTCAAACTAATGATATTGCCAAGATTAATAATTAGTTCTCTCTCTCTGTTTTGTTTTTTTTTTTTTTTTTTTTACTTTTGATTTTGAAAAACGCTCAACAATATTGATAGTGATTAGGAGTACGTTTACATGCATTAATATTGTATCTGCAGTCATATATTTTGACTGAATATTTGCTGAAAATTTCAAGTGCGCTTCATTTTATTTTTCCAGAAGGTTTGCACTAAAAAGATTTTAGCAAAAAAAGAAAAAAGCACGCGTCACGAGTTGCACGAGTGAATAGTTAAATTATAACGAGATTCAACACAAATTCATGCTTTTCTTATAAAGGATACATGAAATTCTATGGGTTTCATTTTTTTTTTACTGGCAAGTTATAGACGACATGACGTTTCTTACAAATAACGGTGCGTGCTTTCCTTATCATAATGAAAGCAGCATATAGCTTCTAATTTCTAACTAAAACGACACGTCGGTTTTACAGAACGAAACATTCTACAGGACATATCGTTGACTGAGACATTGCTTAAAAGCTTAAAACGATAATATGTGGTACTGTTAAGTGGAGTAGAACTATGAGTTGTTTCTGTTACAGAAGAAAGGGAAAATTACAAGATAAGTTGTACAAATCATTCTGAAGTATAGTTATTTTTTCATTTTGTCCCGTGATTTTTGAAACTCGGTATGTGCACCACCTAACTATTATCTAAATATTACTTCATATTATATTAATTAAAATGTTAGCAAATTGTAAATATCTCCTTCATCCAATTCTTTAATGGAAACATGACATGACGATCAAGTAGAAGAGTTCAAATTTAATTAATGAGTTAAAAATGTTCATAATTATAAAAAAAAATGATTGAAATACTTAAACTAATCTTAATATTGAATTGAAAATAAGTAAAAAATTTGAAGATTTATTCAAAGAAATTATGATATATTTATCAATTAGATCATGAGGGTGAACTGCATCAATTAGGTATTGAGTATAGAACGAGATGAATTAGGTTTTTTGTGACAATGAGATTCATGTTCTACTGTCACTGTTATCGTTGGAGGCCAAAGTTATAGCAGGTAATTTGTATTGTATCTTAACTCAAGATGGCAAAGATTTTGGTACTCATACAAGAGTATATATAGGCGTAAAAGTGAGGATATATAATGACTAATCTAAAGGGCCTTGTTAAAGGAACTAGCTTAAGGCTATAAATGGGTGATCAGAATGATTATATTTTTAACATGGAAAGATGTTGTCTTGTAGTAACCAAGGAGAAAAAGGATAAGAGAGGGGAAAAATGTGAAGGAAGAAAGAAACTAAAGCAACATGAAAAGAAATGGGTAAAAGAGTGCTGTGATCAAAGTAAATGGTAGCACGACAGAATCACAAGAATGTGATAATAAATTCATGTGCATGCTTATGTTTGTATGTAAAGTTTATGAGCTTTTAAGTACGTCCATACACGATACATCATAATTAATTTTGATTTATGCGTGTTTTCAAAGAAGAATTATTATAACTGAACATTTTGTTCATAGGATTGTTGTACTTTTTCTTGTGACCTCGATAGACAAAGAATGATGAAAAATAAAACGGTGCATTGATCATTGGGGCATAAGTTCAAGATAGGATAAGCCACACCAATATGATGTTAAGCACGGTCTCTACTATTGTCACGAGTCAAGTATTGTGATGGGGCAACTGAGAATTTTTTTGACTGAACATGTCTTGTGTTAAATGAAAAGTACAATATCTATTTTAGAAATCTTATGTGATGCTTAACATGAACATGATACACGGTTCTATTTATTGAGAGTTACCTCATTATAGTTTTTCTAATGCAAGTCTACGTCATTGATAGCTAGATTGCTCGAAAGGTTGGCTGAGCTTCAAGTCTATGTATCTCATGATAATATATATACATATATATATATATATGCACATATAAATATATTAGAAAAATGATTTATATATGATTACCAACTCTTCATATTTTGTTGGTTATTTCACGAGTTAGGTTAGGGTGTTACATACACTGTCAAAGGTAATTTTGGTATTGAAAATTTGTTTGTGTGCCATTTTCAGCAAGCTTTTTTTTTTTTTTTATGGCAACATAAGATCATGTGATTGTGGTTGTGGAATTTGTTTGAAGTCCTATATAACATAAGTTGTGCCCGTGCCTATAAAATTAAGGGTTTTATTTTAAGTAGTACTTCAAGTTATAAGAACGAGTGGGGCACAAGAATTCGTTGGCCATGCCGGGCACATCAAGAGTCTTGATTGAGCCCGATTTATCATGAATTGGACAAGGACCGCGCTATTATACCATCTCCGAGCCAAGTTTAGCAGCCTATTTACAGTATGCCTTTTCCACATTGATGTCAAGTAGCCTTCTAAAACTTCAAGTAGTTATCAGGGCAACAAATTTTTCTTGCAACAGAAAAAAATAAATAAACAAAAACTCTTGCTAGCCACAGTTTCATTCATAACTTTTTATTTTTATTTTTTTTAAAAGGGCCTCATTTGGACGCTTGACGACGTTTGAAATACTACGGTGCTAGTTCATTTCTGTAGGTCTACAAGGACCAATATGTTATTACGTAATGATGGGCAGTGAGCATCACTAGACAGTCTAGACTGTTTTGTATTACTAATTTTTCATCGTATGTTATTGCCTAGCCAGTTGTCTATCGGTCTGATATATGTCTCATACTACAAGGATGTAAAAAGTTATAAAAAAAATAAAAAAAACAAAAATCGTAAGTGGGTATTGAAAAAATAACCTATCAGCAGGGTTTTGTTTAAAACGTTAGATTAAAATCATAAACTCATAGTTTTCGATATTTTTTAATTTCATATGATTTTGACTAGATCTAATATTTAAAAAAGTATAATACTAAAAGAGAGTACTTACTGTAAAAAGTTCCAGATATTTGGTCAATTCTGTGTTAACAATAATAAATAGTATCTAACTTAATTTCATATGATTTTGACTAGATCTAATATTTAAAAAAGTATAATACCAAAAGAGAGTACTTACTGTAAAAAGTTCCAGATATTTGGTCAATTCTGTGTTAACAATAATAAATAGTATCTAACTGTTCAGATCTTTAGTCATAGATTTGAATTATAATTCAACCTTTTTTGTTACAACGCTTTTAATAGTAAAAAGTTAAATTTCAGTTCAGGTTTTTTATTCAAACATATGTAAAAAGAAACACACCGTTAGTTTTCTAAAAACATCTCGTTGCCAAAAAAAAAAAAAAAAAAAAACAAACCAAGATCAACAGTTATACTACATAGTATCACTCTAATTAGAGCACCAACAAGAGGGACTCGTAAGTAGCAAAAAATGAATTATTATGTATATAAGCATCTCAAAAAAGATAATGCCAGCCACAGCTAAAACAACTAAAGATAAGTGAAACTTCAAAGGGAAGATTTGAAGAATTGAGAACCGACCAAAACAACCATAATACCAGTCTTTATTTATAATAACATCATGATGACCTAAGCGAATTCCCCCACTTGTAAGAGCCAAGGGAAAAATCCAAAATAAATGTGGCCATTTTTAAATTTGCAGCGTGTATGAACCAAAAAGTCAAAAGGTAGGACTAACTCGGAATTCAAACGTTGTGGCCAAGAAAGAACACTTGTCTGTTCAGTTATGATGAGAAACAATCATAGAGTAGGAGCACCCTATGGTAGTATCATTAATCTCAACTTCACGATTTAAATCGGACGGTACTTATGAAAGAGTCTAATAGTGCATTCAGAGAATCCTCTCACATATCCAGCTCGCCTCATACATTATGGACAATCCGATTCCAATATCACGGCCGTCAACTTCACGATTTAAATCGGACGGTACTTATGAAAGAGTCTAATAGTGCGTGCATTCAGAGAATCCTCTCACATATCCAGCTCGCCTCATACATTATGGACAATCCGATTCCAATATCACGGCCGAGATCAATGGTTCTATGAAACCTTACTATGAGGACTACCCCACCATAGAATCTCCCATTCTGAGTTATGGGGACGGACGTAGAAAAAAGCTCAAGCAAAAGCCAAAAAAACGGCTATCAATACGTACATGCTCCTTGTCAGCTGTAAATCTGACCCAAAACAGTCCAACCCCACAAAAGGGTATCTTTGACAATGTGATGAATCATTTGAATGTCAAAGTTTTACTATAGTTTTTAAAGGGTATTAATAAGGATGGTTTTAACTCTTTTTAGTATGTGATTTGTTTGGTGTCTGTTCTTTTAATTTAGATAAAATGATTTTGAACGTCATTAATTAGTGTAATTAAGTCTTTTCTATTGAGTTTTTTAATTTTTTTTACAGAATTGATCACATATAAAGCATGTGATCTTATAAAAGAGGGTATTTTAGTAAAATACCATAGTAAGGGTATTTTTATTTTTTGTTTTTTTAAAAGGAAAGGAAAAAAAAAAAAAAACCCCTAAACTCATAAACTTAGAAGGAAAAAAAAGGGAGGAGAATCTAAGGGCCGCCTTTAATTGGATTAGAGATGGGCCCCACATACCAAGTTGGAGAAAATAAGTGCTGAAGTAAAGAACTAAAACCCCTATTTTTATCTTCGTCCTAAAAAAATAGATCCCGACTTCTCTCTTAAACGCAGGCAGCGACCTCCAGTTCGCCCTTTATTGTCGGCGACCTTCGATTCATGACGGAAAGCGTGATTTCTTCGCGACCTGTTGACCCACGGAGGAGATCAGTGCGATTTCGTCAAGACTCATCGCGGCGCAGATTTCATTGCGACTAAGATCGCGATTCTTGTTGACCGCGAAGGAGATCGGTGCGATTTCGTCAAGACCCGTCGCACAGTGGATTTCATTAGCACGAAGATTGCAAATCAGATTAGCGCGATTGCGTCAAGACCCGTCGCGCGGCGGATTTTATCATGACGAAGATCGCGATTCTCGTTGACTCGCGAAGGAGATCGACGCGATTTTGTCAAGACCCATCCCTATGCGGCAGATTTCATAGCGATTCATCATGGCTGTCGCGATATCAACGTGATTAGCTACTACTGACGTCATGGAGGTCATCGCGATTTGCGACCCCTGATCGTGATGGTGGCCGCGATTCCTCGTGACATCTCGACTGAAATCACGACTTGCCGTGACAGAGGTCGTAACAACTGGGCGGCGAGTTTGGGTCCAAATCCCGGCAAGATCCAACCAATTTTCTTTTTTCTTTTTTCTTTTTGGTTTTTTGTTTTTAATTATTAGTGAGTTGATTTATGTGAGGAATATTTTTGTAACTTTACTATGAAAGTGACATGTCTGAAGATCACGTGTATAAAATCGTTTAAAATTTGACGAAGTTAGATTGAAAGGACTAAATTACACTAATTTAATGACATTAAGGACTATTTTATCAAAATTAAAAGAATAAGAACCAAACTGTCATTTACTTAAAAAGTTAAAGATCGTCCGTGCCAATTACCCCTTTTTAAATGGATTTACAAAGGACCAGCATGTAAATGCCAATAATAGTCAAGATGTCTTAAAATGTACTTTCAGGAGACAGGGTATTATGATTCATCAAGAGGAGAAAGACTTGTACATGTATTTTTTTTTTTTTTTTTCACTAGAGATCAATCAAAGAAAGTGAGGAAGGAGGAGTTGAGCAAGTGACATAATGGACTGAGCATGATGATTCTGCAACCAAAGGGGAAGGCATGACTGCTTAACGAGAAAAGGAAAGGATCATTGATTCAATTGCTTTGATATTTTCTAGAGCAAAATGTTAAATTGACCAAGAAAGGGGAAACAGGAGAAAAGTGAAATCAATTAATAGTTTGTTCAGCATCCCAAGTATAGTAATCCAGTGACAAATCAGAAAATTTAAAAAAAAAAAATGAAAACCAAAAAAGAAAAAAAAAAAGACCAAGAAATATAATCATGTATGAAATAGACAGCCCACTGTCCCGAAGACATGTCTGTACAACAAGTGCCTCTTGTATCTATCTCTGTATCTCTCTCAGCAAACCCAATTAATGGGGTTGGGACTTTTGGGAACTTGGGAACACTTGTCTTTTTTCTTGACTTGGGAACACTTGTCTTTTTTCTTGAATGATCTTATGCCTGAGAAGGCAATACTGAAACAACAACAGCTAAACTCCTCATGAGCCAAATGGGGCCATCTCCAATACAAGTTTTAGCTTAGATTCAGAAAATTTATCTAAAAATAAACTTTGAGGTGTATGTTGTATTAACGAGTTACTGAAAGCTTTTACTCTGGTAGATGAGAAGGAAAATCTTCTTGCCCGGGGTGATGTGTTTGGTCAGTCCTATCCATGAGTCGTCTCTGAGGCTTGGCTTTCTGTATCCCCTGGCTTGTTTGGTATTTCAGTTGAACCAGATATCTCATTCATTGATTCAATTTCCATGCTGGTTGTTCGGCTCTTTCTGTTTCTTCGATCCTGTATAATGCCGCACACATAAATTACGGAAGCAACTGGACAACAAATTTGGGAGTACAAAGTTAAAGCTGGAGGATTTTCACAATAAGATAATGTTTCCGGAAAATTAGCATGTGATTTAACATTTAAAAGGAAGACATGTTCCACGGTGATAAAGTAGATATTGTAGAAGCAAGGTGAATAACCTACTTCAGCAACTCTTTATAGTATCTAAAGTCTAAACCAGTATCAATTATGTGCCCAAGTCTAGCGATTTCCTTGAGATAATAAGAGAAAATAATTAGTTCCATAAGAAAAAGAGGAAGATGAGCACCTCGCGAAATAGGTACTCGTCAGTTTCAAGCATTCGCACAACATGACTCATTTTGGGCCTCTTTTCTGCATCAGGATCAACACATCTAAGAGCAACAAGAAGGGCATGTTTTAAAACACGCATAGCGGGTTTAACTTCAAGGTTTGGATCCACAACCTCCTCAAATCTTCTTGTGCCCACCATCATCTTTAACCACTCAATAAGATTAACCTGCCATGAGTTTATACAACAATCTGAATAGACGTCTTTGCACAAGACAGTAAAAGTTGCAAAACAGTAGGCAATATTGGCTGAGAATCAAAGGGAGTGAACAGTCAAGTAAAATATGATGAAGACAAGTAGAAACACAGATTAAGAATTACATACCTCGTTAGCTGGGCGCCCATAGTCCACGGGATCTCTTCCAGTAACTGCTTCAAGCAGAAGGACGCCAAAGCTGTATATGTCGCTTTTCTCATTTAACAGGCCAGTATTAGCATATTCTGGTGCCACGTAACTGAAAATAACAAAATGAACCAGTTCTTCGTTTCAAATCAGATGATACTTTTATGGACAGACTATTTGTAGGGAATTAACATTTATGCATACCCAAATGTCCCCATTACTCTAGTTGTGATGTGGCTCTCTCCCGAATCCAAGAGTTTGGCCAGTCCAAAATCAGAAACCTTCGCATTAAACTCATCATCAATCAAGATGTTGCTTGATTTTATGTCTCTATGAACAACTTTAGGTTCTATTGCTTCATGTAAATAAGCAAGCCTGCAGTTCAATAGCGGAATTTATTCTTCATTTTCGTTCATATTCCAATTTCCAAAGCAAATTTGCAAAAGATTAAGATAAGAATGGAAGAAAGTTTGCAAAAGTTAAATATTGCTATATGAAATATACCAACATTAAAGCACCAGAAAGAAGAAATTAAAGAGGACCGTGCAATGTTTAGTTGTAACAGATGAGTTCTAGAAAAATGAAGTTGGAAAAGAGAATTGTAACCAATGAAGCTAATATCTGCTACATAGGAATTTGGCTCCACAGAATATTTAACAATGTTGAGCTGAAGAATGAACTTACGCCTTAGCAGTACCAAGAATCACTTTCATGCGAGCCTCCCAAGTCAGGGTGCCATGATGGCGCATGGCCCCGTGTAGCCACTGTTCAAGGTTTCCATTGTTCACATATTCATAAACCAGCATCCTGTGAAAGAAAAGTGAGTATAATGAAACTTTAAAAGCCTAAGCCAAGCTTTTGTGGGAAAAAATATGGGGAAAACATAATAAAACAATTTCTATGGCATCTAATACATTACTTTAGATCAGAATGACATATTTTAGTAATATAATGCTAGAGTGGACCAATCAAGAAAAGAATAAATAAACTGATCAGAAACGTAAATGAATCTAACCTGTGAACTCCTTCTATGCAATAGCCAAGGAGCCGCACTAGATTCTTATGCCGGACATGGCCTATAGCTTCCACTTCAACTCTAAATTCTTTCTCTGCTTGTCCCCTACATAGAGGTAGAAAAATGTAGTCATAATGCAGGTTTCATTGAGAAGAAACTGCTAAACAAAAGAGGTCCTCTAATGTTTATCATTTGCTTACAGATTATTAAGAAGCTTTTTCACGGCCACCTCAGCTCCATTTATCAGTCTGCCCTTGTAAACAACCCCATATCCACCTTCACCAAGCACATTCTCTGCAGAAAAACGATTAGTCGCAAACTCAAGATCCCTAAGTGTAAACCAGTGGCCCCAACCAAGATGTGAAATTTCTGGCAAGCCAATTAAAGGAGAAGCTGTCACAAGCCCTGCATAGGATGAAGGCTGCTTTCGGACTGTCCCAGAGCTTCCTTCTTCCCCTGACTGAGAACTACCTGCCCTCTCATGATGATAAACTGAGCTGCATTGACTCATGTCATCAGGATCGCTTGATTTGCTCACACCCAAATGAACTAACATCTTTTCTGAATTCTTATCGCTCGATTTATCATGAACTGTCAGAAACAAACTCTCAGCGTGATCATGGGTACCCTGAGTCCCAACCCTGTCAACCTTGATATCTTTTGATACATTTGGGATTTGGGTGTGTGCAAACTTGTCCAAGGATCTCCTAGATTTTCGCCGAAATGAGACCCATATGGACAAGAAGCAAAGGATCAAAACAATAAATGCCCCAACACAAATCCCAATCAAAACCCATAATTTTAAACCCAAGAATGATGTCTTTTTCGACATTTCTGCATTCAAAGAACTGTCGGACGACATTGCTGATTGTCTAGACAAAAACCAAAACTCAACCAGGGTCTAATTATCGATTCCGAAGACGTCAAAACATCTCCACCTGAATGACAGAAACGTCTCAGCCATCTGAGTTTTGTAATAATGTCTTATATGACTTTTGAATACAAATCAGAAAATAAATAAACACGCCTACAGAATAATCTACACTCAAGTATTACACGTTTGATGCTACCCAGATAATTAAATGTCATGTCCCCATCTCTGCATAACACTCACACGGCAGAGTAAAAGCAATCTTATTGAAATTCAATTTGAAGGGAAAAAAAGAAATCCAAATGCTATAAAAAAAGTAGCTTGCTTAGATAGGCATAGTCATTCACATTTTAATCACAATTTAGTGATTCCAAAAGTGAACTCAAGCAGTATCAGTCAGGCACATTGTGTTAAAAGAAAAAGTGATGCACGAAATCAATTGGCACATGCCATCACAACAAAGAAACCGCAACAAATTCCACACTCCGTGAAAAAGCAAAGCAAAGCAAAGGTCTTATCCATGAATAAATCAAAACCCATATCCATATCCATCAGAAAAAGGGGAGAAATCTCATAGAGCATCTCTTATGATTCAAGTAAGAGACCTCAAAAAGAGAAAAATGTGAGTCATGTAAACCAACCCAAAAAAAAAAATCAAAAAATCAAAAAGTGATTGAAAGAATAAAGGAGAGGAAAGCAATGACCTTTGAATTGCTTTGATCTAAGTAAGGTTTGCTAACCCCCTTGATCTTCTTCCTTGAGGAGCCAGAGAAGCAGAGGAAAGGCTTCTTTCTGAACCAAGAGAGACCCAATGCGCATAGATAGGCCAATGTAGACCTGAACAAGAAGAAGAAGAAGACCAAAAACCCAGAAGCCTCAAAAGGAGAAGTAGTTTACAAGTAGGGGTTTGTGGCCTCAAGTGGGCCAAAACCGAATTCCAGAGAAAGAAAGAATGACAATAATAAACAAAATAAAAAAAAAGAGGTAAAATAAGGTAAGGCCAGACAAAAATATAATCTTTTTGAAGGGAAAATGTAGAGGAGAAAGAAATGGGGGGATTAAATTATGTATAAATATAAAGTGGGATTTGGGAGACAACAAGGAAAAGTGGGTAAAATGGTTGGTGGGTTTTTTGTGAGTGTGAATGAGAAAGAGAAGACAGAGAAGGGGCCTGAGCGAGCTGGAAAGGACGGAGAGGAGAGGAAGCTTGGTTTGCAATGGAGGAAATCAGAGAGAGAGAAACAGTAAAGGAAAAGCAAAAATGTGAGGTGAACAGTAATGGAGGGCATTTATAACTGGGTTGAAAAATAAAATAAATTCATTCATTTGAGCAAGATAAAAGTAGAGAGAGAGCGAGACAACCCAACAGGAGGGAACTCCAAATCTAGCTTTGGCTTTTGAGGTCTACTTACCAAACTGTCCTCATCTCCCTTATTCTCTTTAAAAAAAATCTTAGATCTTGCTCTTTTTATAATTTAAATTCAGAACTTGAGTTCTTGTATAGTATTTTTTATTATAAAAATTTAAATTTAATTTTTTTATTATAATATTTTTTTCTTACATATATAACACAAGTTATTAACGTTGTGAAATAAAATACTTTAAAAGAATTTTAATTTAAAATTATTATAATATATTTTTCTTTCATACATAGCACAAATTATTAACGTTGTGAAATAAAATACCTTAAAAGAATTTTAGTTTAAGATTAAATAATAATAGAGCACCACAGTCTGTTTTTCACTGCATGTTTTGCAATTTGACAGAGTAGTGAAGTTCCATTAAGTGGTTTAACGGTCACACGTGAGTCCGTTCACTTCGCTGATTCGAATTTGTAATTCGAGTTGAGATGTGATTTTATGTGAGAGTTTTTTACTGTAGCAAAAAAGTTAGATGTGATTGTTTATGAGAGCTTTTTACTGTAGTAAAACTCGAATTCTAAACTCGAATTGGTGAAGTGAATGGGAACATTTCTTTTTTATTTTGGTATTCACAGCCTTTATAATTTTGCTCGTCATTATAAAGGCATTTATATAGATACTAGTTAAAACGCGCTACGCGTTGAGTGTTCACTATATTATATTATATTTTTTGGATATGCAAATTTAGAATTTATTTAAAGTTTAATTCTGCTATTCTCTTTAGAGTTTAACTCAATAAAAATAAAATTTCAATAGAACAAATTATAAAAAAAAAGTATTGGGGTAAAATGACAAAAACAATAAAAGTATAAAAAATTAAATGAGAATGAAACTTGAAGGTCAATTTGATGAAGTAAACATTTAAAAGGATGTAAAAGAATATTTAAGGAATACATTAAAAAAAAGACTCTTACTTAACAAAGACACAAGAATGTAAGGAAAATTGAAAATACGTAAATGAGGATACATTTAGAAAAAAATTATTTTAACAAAGACAAATTGAGAAAGGAAAATAATCTAATGAAGTAGATTTGAAAATATATAATAATAAAGGGTAAAGCAATATAAAAAAAATAAAAAGGGAGAAGAAATGAAAAGAAGGGTCAAAAGTATAATTAAAAAAATGAGAGATCAAAAGAAAAACAAAGGGATGGACATATCATAAAAAATAAAGAAAAAACAGAACGTAAGGAAGAAAAGAGAATTAATACGTTGCCAAAGAAGAGCTAAATAATTAAAACGGTTGTGTAAAAAAGCTGTTTAAACGTGTTTGTCAAAAAATTGTTTAAGTGAGCTAATTAAAAACATATTTATAAGAAACATTTTGATATAATAAGCATTACATTAACTAAATTAAATAGGGGCACATTCGTAAGAATTTATTTAAAAAGAGCAAGAGGGGAAATACAACTATTTGAAAAAAAGCACATCAAACGATAATTAAAATACACCTGAGTCTCTTGCAAGGAAAAAAATAAAAAATGAAATACAGATACATTTGAAAGAAATTATTTTAAAATATACAAAGCCTCTGGCAAGGAAAAAAAAATGAAATATGGATACATTTAAAAGAAATTATTTTAACCGAAACAAAATGATGAAAAAGTTATTTCAAAAAGACATATAAAAAAATAAGGTGCATATGAACTTTAAGCAAAAAATAAAAATAAAAAAAACCAAAATAGGAAAAAATCAAAAAAAGTAAAAAGCAAAATATAAAAAAAAAAAAAAGGGAGCAAAGAGAGATTGACACATGGTCAAGGTAGAGTTAAACTTCTTTAGCTCTTTTATATATATGTACTAGTTATAAGCATGCGCCCTGCATGTGCATTCTTTATATTTTATATGAAAATTTAAAATTTCTTTTAATATTTACTTGTATTTGTTTATTACTCACCTAATAATTGAATTTAATATAAAAAAACAAAAAAAGTTTAGTAAAGCACATTTAAAAGGAAAAAGAAAACGAAAAAATCACATAGTAAATTATTTGTGGACTACATATAAAACGAATTATTTTAAATAGAGTAAAGTGAGAAAAAATCATGAAAGAACTTTGCAAGAAGATTAAATTACAAAAGCTCACTTTGCAAACGATTAAAGAAACACCATAAAAAAAAAGCAAAAGAAGAATAGAAATAAGAAATAGTAAAAATAAACAAAAAGAAAGATTAAAATAAGAAAATGTAAAAAATAAAAATAAAAAAAGAGAGAAATTTGAGGTTAATATGTGGCAAAAAGAGAATCAACATTTTTTGTCTCTTTTATGTATGTTAGATTAGATTTAGGTGAGTAATAATATTTAGTTTTATTTATTTATTAATCACCTAATAATTGAGTTTAGTATAGTAAAAATAAACAAAAAGAAAGATTAAAATAAGAAAATGTAAAAAATAAAAATAAAAAAAGAGAGAAATTTGAGGTTAATATGTGGCAAAAAGAGAATCAACATTTTTTGTCTCTTTTATGTATGTTAGATTAGATTTAGGTGAGTAATAATATTTAGTTTTATTTATTTATTAATCACCTAATAATTGAGTTTAGTAAAAAAAAATAAAAAAGAAAAGAGTTTAGTAGAGCATGTTTAAAAGGGAAAAAAAGATTAAAAAAATCACCTAGTAAATTATTAGTGGAGTACATATAAAATGAATTATTTAAATAGAGTAAGGTGAGAAAAAAAAATCATGGAAGTACTTCGTAAGAAGATTAAATTACAAAAGTTCACTTGATAAACGATTAAAAAAACATTAAAAAAAGCAAAAGAAGAATAGAAATAAGAAAAAATAAAAATAAACAAAAGAAATATTAGAAATAAAAAATGTAAAAAATAAAAACAAAAGAGAAAATTTTGAGGTTGACATGCGGCAAAAGGAAAATTAACATTTTTGGTTTATTTATGTATGTTAGATTACATATGTATATGTAAAAGCAAAAAAGTAAAAATAAATAAATAAAGTAAAAATAAAAAAAATAAAAAAGAAAGGGAGTAAAGAGAGATTGACAATGGCCAAATGAGAGCTAAACTCTTTTGGCTCTTTTATATATAAATATAAGATAAGATCTAAGATATATTTGTAATTGGTAAGAAAATTATTATGTTAGGGGGTTGGAGATCACATTTTATTGTTCTGCAACATTTTCGGTATTTTTTTTTTATGAAGTTGAAATCTCTAAGCATTTAACACCATAAAACTAGAGAATACCTTTCTTCAATCAATAAATATATGGAGAGGGGAAAAAAAGGCAGATTGAGATTGCATTCAAAACATTGAAATTTGAAGTGGCGGGAGACAATAATGAGTGAAATTAAGTTTCTATGGATACATAGGACATTTAATTTTGCAATGGTTAGGAAATGAAAACTCCAATTATTCAATGAAAAAAATAGAATTGCATCTGGTCCTATGTGCATATCATAATTCAGTGTAGTTAGTGCATTAATGTCCGCAAAAATCAGGATATCAATTCCATATCGCTAAAAAAAGTTCGGGATTCAAAAACTAAGGGGTTGTTCTTTTGTAATAAAACTCAGAAAAAATTTAAATTCGAGTTATAATTTTATTTAAGTTTATGTTCTTTTGTAAAATTTGAGTTTGAACTCGAGTTTAACCCTAAACTCAAGTCTGAACTCAAGTTTCCCCTTCAATTCGAGTTTATAAACTCGAACTCAAGTTAATAAACAATATTTTTTCTTTTCTTAAAAATATCATAACTTTTTCGTTTTAATTCTGATTGAGATGATTTTTTTGTATGCATTCACAACAAAAAGACGAATAAAACCCCACCCATATACCATATTCAAATTTTTCATCACCATTGAGTTTTTATTAAAATACTATCTAAATACAAATTTAAGTTTTGACACACCCAAACACAAATTTAAAAAGATTCTCAATTTAAATCACAACTCAAATGTGCACATCTAAACACAAACTCAAGTTACAACTTCAATTCAAGTTATAACTCAAACTCAACTTAAGATCATCCTAACTCAAAAATGCAAAAGAACAACTCTAACATTATAGTTAGAGAATTTAAAAGGTAAATACTTCCCATGTTATTTGTTTTACAGGTTTAAACGAATATTTAAACTTTTTTACTAGTGTTTTTTTTTTATAAAATTTAAATTTTCATTTAAATTTTTCTGTTTGAATTTGTGAACCAAACAAACTTTTCATGAATAAGAGTAGAGAATCATAACTCTTCATAGTTAGTGATGAGTTTCACAAGCAAATTGTATGCCTACCAATTTTATTTAAAAAAGAGAACGGCGAAGGAGATAGAAGAGGAAAAAAAAAAAAGTTCCGTACAAAATAAACCAGGTGAAGAGAAAGTAGATAGAGTGATACATTAGACTTTTATCCCTACAATTGTCAACAAAGAAAAGAAATGTTTACCTCTAATTCTCTGCAAATTCACAGCCCTAATTTTTTTCTTTGACAAAAAATTTCCTAATTGGTACCTAAGTAAACCGATTTGGAGATATTTTCAAGCACTTGGTTCAGTTGGTACTTATTTAGAATTAGTTTTTTTAAAGGAATCTAGAATTAGTTTTATATACAAAGAGTAGAGCTTTTTCAAAATATTCTTCTTCTCTGTCAACTGCTTCTGGAAGTTTAATTAATTCTCACTTACCACAAAAGTAATATTTTAGTAGCTCTCAAAGTCTTATTAGCTGTTGTGCTTATCTAGCTTTATTTTATTAATGAAAAAAATATGTGTTTGACCAGGTTCTTGAAAAATAGAATTTCAAAACCTTTTGTTCCAACGGTTCTCAAGGGCAAAGTCGTCTGCACAACGGTTCTTTGGGAGTTTCTCTAGTAATTTTTTAAAAATAGACAAGCGATAATTTTTTTTAT